TAAAAAATGACCAAACTGATATATTTTTCAAAGACTGATCTTTGCTATTTATCGATGTGCAGTACAGTACTTTTTTTGTGCTGAGCGGTTCATCACGGAGAACTGTGATAAAAGTTCCACTGGCAATGATAATCTGAAATAGAATTATCTCAAGCTGTTTATCACTTGTTGCGGTTTATTACTATGATTGTTATTGTTTTTATTGCTGGCATTTATTTGATCAGTTTTGGCAAGACTTTGATCCATCATTAATCTTCTGCGAATTTTTAGAGATTTTCGATACTGAAAGCAGCTTACTTCGAAATGCTGAATAGCACTACTTTGTTAGTAACGAAATAGATTTATCTCATATTATCTTCCACTGTTTATTAATTTTAATTAACCATTAATGTGAGAGTTTCAAATGTAAGCGTTTCACGTCTGATAGAATTGTTTCAAATACCTGTGCTGTGACCAACGTAACACCGATTTTGTTGCCAATTTTTTCATATGTTGATGTAAAATACGTCGCAATCGCTCGTTCAATGACTATCGCTGGTATCGAAATGGCGTTCAAAAATATTGTTAACGTGACTAATGTACGAATCATGAAGCATTCCCGTAATGACATCATGTGATCACAATTGTTGTCAGTATGCTTGTGATATGTAATCATTACATACACATAAGCAATGATTCTTTAATTATTTATGAATGATTTTGTTGGCATTTTTGGTAAGTGCGTAATGATGCATGATTAATTTGCTAACATCAAAGTAATAAAAGCGTTTGTAATGTGAATGGGAACAGAAATAAGTATTTTTTAAGATGTATTTGATTAACATTTTTACTGTAATAGAGAAAATGGACAAAATACAAAAAGAAGAAAGTTTGTGAATGCTCTTAAATAACTGCTTCAGATTTGTTCAGGACTGGACTTCTAACGTGAAGTTCTTTGTTTAACTTAACATTTTGTCAGAGTGTGGTAAGAAACTTCATCAATAAAACAATGCTAAACAGAACGACCTGGCGATGCAGTGAATGATAAGCCATATTTGGTGAACGATGAGCAACATTCGGGTATTTTGATGGAGTAACATCTGACTGGTTTTACCTTTTATCGCCCACAATTCAGCAATAACTGCTAGAGCTGATATGACTGCAATGCTGATAAGAAGATTACGGAATGCTTGACTGTGAGCTAATTCCGATTCTTCTTGACAAGAATCCATAGCAGCGCTGTAAACATATTTAGTACATTTTACAAAACTTTGAAATAATGAAGAAGTTTTGAATCTAACTTCCATAAATATGCTATATGGTAGTTTTCGTAAACTAAACGAAAATGGCAAGCTAAACACATTTCTTCAGCATAAAGCATTTGAGATATTTGAAGCAAGTTTGAGTTCATTTTTGTTCCATGCAGAATACTTTCAGTAGAAATATGGCTTATGAAAATGCTATCAACACTTTAATTTATGTTCTCAAAAAAATGCAGTTATTTGGAGTTCTCTTCAAGAATTCCTGTAATAAGTACTAAAAGTTTTGTTCTGTTTTGAGTTAAAATAGAACTAAACTAGTAATCAAACAAACCTGCCAGTGAGTGCAACGATCTAACTAAATTATTAGTAAAGGTCCATGGGAATATGAATTCTAATATCTAAATTAATTCGATTGCCAGAGGTATCAAATAGGAAATTGTTTCGCAAAAATTGTAGTACAAGTGTGATTACATCCTTGAACAAAGTATAAAAGACTAAAAGTATATAAAAATAGTGTAAAAATTCTGTCGTCAGCCTTCAAGATTTTTTTCCATCTAAATTTTGAGTACATTTTGTTTCCCGTAAAATACTTTTTGTTTCAACACAATATGTGAAATATTAATCAATAAAATAAAATAATTTTTTTGTTCTTTTTCTTTAATAATTATTGAAGAAGAGAAACAAAGAAATAATAATAATGGATCAAGATGTTAATTATTTGTATTTTATGAATAAATTTTCAGCAGTAAATGTGATTGCAAACTTTTTAAGATGCAATTACAAATTGCATTAAGTCAAAATTTTTTTGCCTCTTTCAGTAAACTCATAACTGCAAATTATAAATTCGGAAACTCTTTCACTAATTATCAGCGAGAATCATTAGCATTTTTTGATTAAGCTAAAAGTTTTTCTAATTTATTAGTTTTACTACAATATTTAGTACAAATTTATTGTATCCTAGCAACACAGAAATTGACAGTTTTTCGTTTGCAAGGCTTTTTGAATGCATATTTTTAAAACAAGAAAAGATTTTGCTATATTTATGGGATAAGTATACTAAAAAGTGATTCAAGTAGAGAAGGTGCTAATTGGAAAGGAAATGAAGACTGAAAGTTTTTCAAGTAATCAAAAATTTATTAT